ATATACGTTTCAGGTAGATATCCCATCAGATATACGTTTCAAGCGAAAATGACTTTGTTTAATGTACTAACATAATAAAGTTAAGCTAAATTGAGCATTTTTTATAAAAATCATCACCTACTAGAAAACGGCAAATACGTGGAACGGTGAAAACAAAAGTTAAAAAAGAATAAACAATTTGAAATAAAGAATCATCAAAATCAAGTTAGTTTAAATCACAGAATTATGAAAATTTTCAGTGCAGGAGGCACTGCCCCCCCCCCCCCCCCCCCCCTACAGAAACATGGTCCTGGTTTCCTTTATTTATATTATTTTTTAATGTGAAGGGTCTCTTTAATATAGTTTTTGTTGAGGATTTGCTCCTGATAAACCTGGAAGCTATGAGGGAGCTCCTAGATTGTATCCTCCCCCTCTTCATGCTGTAACACCATTCAAGGTGAGGTATCAAAAAAACTGTCGAAAAAATAAATGTTATTCAGCGGTTCAAGACGTATCAATTAATATTCAAATCAACATTTTAAAAAAAATCGACCTTACCTTATGATAGTTAATAACTAAACAGGTGTTGATTTTTTCTATTTTTTTCATGAATTTTGCTTCTAATCTGCTACTGTATAATATTTTTGCTGGTACAAATAGGATTTGATATTTTGCATGAGATAGTTTTACCCTTACCTAGACTGGTGAATTCTGGCACATTCCTCTGCTCCGAGAGGATATACAGAAAGGAAGACCCGAGGATAAAACTGTTTACTTCGGAGTCACGGCTCCTTGGCTCTGTATTGGTCCCAACCCAGGTTTTTATTTATTCTATTATGAACAATTTTTATCTGATATAAAATACATTTTGAAAATGCAACCGTACAAAAGATTGCTTTTATATCGTCTTCCTATTCCACAGAGGAACTGTATCGAAGTTAAAATATTTTATTCTTAAATTCCAGTTTAATTATCATTTCCTAATATCAGGTCTATATATAACAAAAGTGGCACCCATACAACTGGAATAAGAAGACGACAATGATATTTAAGCAAACTTTTGTGCATTTGAAGTTTTTAAATAAAAATAGCTTCTCCAGTATAAGCTTGTAAATCAACTAATGGGTCTGTCTACACTGCACAATTGCCGTGTTTCATATTCATTGGACTTTTAAGAATAATAACTTGATTCTCACAGTCGTCTTCATATTCCACCGTTTCTAGGTCTCCATGTTATGATGTTGTCCAAAATACATCTTATTCTTATTCATTTTTAGAGAAAACTGAATCAGGATCGGACCTGAAGGTTTTCCAAAGAAGAACGCGGCATTTTACCGGAGACCTGCGCAAGAGGAAAACGAGAACTAACGAAGGATGGAAAGAGGCTGAGGCAGTGAAAACTGATGAAGGAGAAATAAAAAACACTGAATATAAAACTATCAATGAAAAAGACAAATTAAACCAAAAAATTGAAGATTTCTCCCACAAAGGGAATAAATTTGTTGAAAGCAATAGTAGAAGAAAGATCAAAGAAAGCAGAGAAAACTCTTCTGAAAATAAGAATACCGATGGTATCGTTGAAATGGAAACGAATGCTCCTGATCTACAAAATTTGATAAAAACTCTGAAAAAAATACAAACAAAAGGAAAAAAACAATAAATAAATTCTTACAGATTAATATTGTTTCTTATTTTATTTGAGAGTTCTTAAATGAAGGTAAAGTGCGCCCCTTAGTTTTTCTTTTTGTACAAAATTTACAGTTAAATTTTTAGAGCAACATTTTTACCAATAGGGGTTTTTTAATTTCGATTTTCTTTATTTTTCATACTTATTTGAAAAAAACTATAAACAATGAAATACGAATTGCTTTTCCTGCATTTTATTGCTAATAGAGGTTTACCCAGAAAAGATGAGATTGTAAAGACGACTTCAAACTTAAAGATATTACTATCCCAGGGTTTTGTTAAGTCATCTGGCTCGAATCAAGTCTTGAAATGGTGGATTAAACCTATTTATATTTGTACGCTATTAAAGTGCCAAAGTTAAAAAAGCAACGAGGAATAAGATATGATATGAAAACTAAGAATTAATATATGGTCGAAAAGATTTGAAACATAGACTTTACATATATCGTCAATAATTTCAGCTATCCTAATTATTGCGTCTGAAACATTCTGATTTGACTGGATTAATAATAAATCTTTTTTGATGAAACAATGTCCTCTAAGATGCCGACAAAAGTAGGCCTAATATTCGAAAATGTGCTCGGTTTCTTTTCCGATGATTCCGAAGCATTTTTTAATTTCAATGTTCTGTTTTTTAACATTTTGTAACATATAGTCGTTTTATCTACAGCTTTTGTAACTTTACTCTTTAGTAACCACTTCAATTTAATTACTTTTTAACTTATCTTTGATGCCCAGTCTTAGTAAAAGTTGATCTAAATGCTTTTCTTTTGCTGCAATTCTTCTCCGTAATCTTCAATTCTGTAAAGTATTTATTATTTAATTGTCAAAGACAATCACTGGCTCTTTTTGTGGGTATTTTGAAATAACGACCAAATGTATCAAAATCTTCTCAATTTTTGAAGTATTATTTACTAACTTCAAGTGAAGCATGAGACATGTCAGACCTAGGATGATCATTTTAGGAAAGTTTAATAGAGAGTGAAATAAGGTTTTTTTTTAAATGTTTTTTTGGATGTTTTTGATAAGTCATGAACTGCTGATCATAGCAGAATTGATCGGGATGTAATGTCCAATCCTGTCCATTTAGTATTGGTCCTAGTCTTAGTCTTTAGACTTAGTTTCTGTACTTAAGTGTTAGTTTTAACAGTTTTTAAATGCAGGAAATTACAACATAAAACTGGAGTCTAATTATTTCTCTGACTGAAGAGATAATGATGAAATCTTGCTTTAAAGGATAATATTGATACCAGTGTCATAATTGTTTTGGTACAGTGGTAGGCCTATTTACCAATATAATAAAGTCATCATTTTAGTCCATGTTTGCTTTTTTATGTAGCTTGCATATAAACAAAGGGAATCTGTCCGTTTGACAGGCAAATAATCTTTGCTATAAAAATAATATTTTCTTATGACACATAATTAATCGAATGAAGCATTAAAAAGTAAGTATTCATTTTCATAAATAAATTGCGAAGGGCAGAGCTGAAAACTCTAGAATGAGATATCCTTAATCACGATCGCTTAATCTAAGTATCCAATGTAAGCACTTTTGATTTTTTTCTTAATCCTCTTTTTGGAAATTTCTATTGTATAAAATTTACGTTTGATAACAATTACAGATACAATGCTATATCGATTGGACTAATATCCGATTGAATTAAAGTTCACAAGCCGGCTTGTAGAGCATTTAAACAAATAAAAATTTAATCAGGTTGAAATAAAATTGTTAAAAAACATATTTTAGGACTATTGTCATTTTGAACGTTAGTCTTAATAAACATTAATCCAAAACTTGCATTCGTTCAATCGATGTTTAAGTTAATTTGTTATGACACCAGAAATCAAAAAGTTAAAGAGTACATCTTAACATGACACGATGATTGATTAGATTTTTAACTTCTTTCTTGGATATTGAATGCGTTTTGAAATAATCTTGGGTTTAGTAAAACCAGGAGTTGAAGCATAAATCTTGATATAGTTCAAAAGTTTTCAGCTCTGTTATATTAAGGTATAATGATAAACAGCTTAAAAGTCGTTACTTAATTCCATTGTACAAATATGCCATTATCTGGAAATGTTTAAAAACCAAGGATTGTTTCTCAGGCTTATTCAAACAAAATTTATTTTCAGTGATTTATTTTAATTCATAAAACATATTCAATCACATAAAAAGTATGTGTAGCTAATTATTTGTTGAAATACTAGAACATTTACTTGATTTCTGAAATCCATCACTGGAAATCATTCATATAAGCTCTAGCAGCTTTACCACAAGGACTGTTGGGGCTAAAGTTGGGTGTTGTTGCAACAGCATCAAGATACGCTATCCCTGCCAGATCACCAGCTTTCTCTTCAGTAGCACCAGCTAGAGTAGCTTTTAAGAAAGCTTCTGCAGATACTAGGCACACAGAGTCAATAGATTCACCTGTGGTTGCTGCTTCTTGTAAAAATGCCAACATAGCAGCAGAGTTTGAAGTGCTAGGAACCCTCTTGTTTGATGATGAATAGGCTTGGGCAGCTGCCATGCAAGGGGATCGTGGAGAGATCTGGGCTCCAGCTTTCACAGTTTCTATGAATGCCAGAGCTGCATTGGTGGTGGCTTCAAGCTCATTTTTACCAGCTCTGTAGGTTTGGAAGAAGGCTTGACTAGCAGAGGCACAAGCTTTATCAGATGCCTGACTGTTATCCTTTTCAAGGGCATCAATAAAGGCAAGCATAGCTACTGCATTTCCTTGACTTTGCAGATGAGATTGTTCCTTCGTGTATGCTTTGGTAGCAGCAAGACATGGAGAAGAAGCAGGAATCTGATCTCCAGCAGAAAACCTGGTCACAAACTCTTCAGCAGCAGCAAGAGTAGCATCACTCTCAGTGGATCCGGCATTGTATGCCTGCCTAAATAAAGATCAATTTATCTTAAGTTATCATAAATTTATTTAATATAGCCCACACTTCAGTGAAAAAAAAAATATTGTCTGTTGTTGATAATAATAAGCTTACCAGAAAGCTCTAGCAGCTGAGATACAAACCGGATCTGGAACAACTCTACCCTGGCTAATCATACTCTGAATTGCTGCCTCAAATGCTCTAGTGTTGGAGGAGGAAGCTTGACTAGGCAGGCTGGTGTAGTAAGCATTGGCTGCAGCAACACATGGTGAATCTGCAGGAATCCCAGAAGCTCCATTGGTGGTCAGTTCAGTGAACACTGCTTCAGCTGCTGCCAGATTAGATGTGCTATCAGTATTACCGGCAGCAAAGGAGTCAATGAAAGCTTCAGCTGCTTTCCAGCAAACAGGATCATATTCAAAACTAGATCCAGAGAAAGCTTGCTCAACAAACTTTATCATAGCTTTTCCATTGGCAACAGAGGGTTTGGTAGGTAGAGCTTGGTAAAATGCCTTGGTTGCAGCAGCACATGCAGGATCCCTTAGCTCCTTGCCTTCTGCAGAAAGCTGCTTTAGTGCACCAGAGAACCCCTTGGCAGCACTAATTCGAGCATCAGCCTCACTGGATCCCTTTAGTACTTCAGTAACAAATGCGCGTCCAGAAACAGCACAAGGGTTTCCTTCTTTCATGCCTTGCCAGTTATCCATGAAAGCAATAGCAGCATCTAGAACTGGATTCTTTCCCTTGGACACAGCAGTCTTCCATGCATCTTCAGCTAGCTGACAAGGAGAACCAGGGGTTGGTCGAGATCCCTTGTTATATTCAGATCTGTAAACAGTCTCAGCAACTGCAGTAGCTGATTCAGTAGTTCCTCCATTTACAATCTCCTGAAGGAAGGAAAGACTACTCTTAGAGCAAATGTCCTGGTTGTCAGAATTCTTCATATAAGCCAAAGCTGCTGCTGCACTAGCAGAGCTGTGAGGTCCAGCATCTATCTTTTTTAAGGCAGCAGAAGGATAGGAAGCAACAGAAGCTGCTGGATTAAATTGGAGAGCTGGGCCATAGTTCCTAAATTGTTGCGGAGCATAATACTTTGAAGTTATGTAGTTGGAGTAGTATGGTTTAGCATGTCCAGGATAGGAAGAGTACATATAGTTATTATATTGGGGGGCAGTCAGGGAGGACCCCAGAACAACAAGCAACACCTAGAAATAAACCATATTTTAAGAATTTAATTTCATTTTGGAACTTGAATTTATTAGTATTTTTGACATATCTTTTCCATTATGTTTGTTTCCCATCAATATTGGAATATTGGTATTTCTGGGGGCTTAATATTTCATTTTTTACATTTTGCATCATATTTTTCATAGGTTTTTTTAGACCTTCCAGCACCTTAACTATTAAGTTAAAAGTCAAGGATTATCAAAAAAATAATTACACCCTGAAAAGTTGGAATTTTGACACCACCAGGAAAGGGTTAAATTTTGTCACCGGATTATTCCCAGTAAAAATGTAAAGATTAGTAAGAAAGCTTAATCATCATACTGACAATACAGGGGTTTCCATTTTTCTTGATGTAAAAAATCTTAAAACTAAATTTTTATTTTGGCTTAATGAGATATATGTACTATAACAAAATTACTTAGCGTACTATTAAATTTCAATACAAAAATTTCTTGGGAAGGAAGTTCCAACCTGTTGTTTGATTAAATAGTAGTTCGTGCCATGCTGAAAAATATGATGGAAATAGTCACTGCAATTAAAAATTGACCTCGACATGGGGAGAGTTCTAAAATGGCAATGTCAGTTTTGACCCCTAATGGTGGTTTGGAACTTTTTCCCACTGAAACTCATAGTTGTTCATACATATTTTATGTCTGTGAATCAAATTTTCTAAAAGTTGCCCATAGGCTCATACAATTTATGCCGAAAACTGATGCTCAGTATCAGTTTTGGACAATTGACTATGTTTGGCATTTTCGTTCCTTAAAACCATAGTTTGTACTGCTGTATCCCAGGCCCCACAAAGATTTTCGCTAAACCGAAATCAAAATTTCTAATGGATATGACTCAGTTTGTATTAACAGGTATCTGTCTCGCAAGATACAACTCAATCCTTCTTGTTATGATTGACGAGGCATGGGTTTCGGGTTTCCAAAGCTCTTGTCTTCCAGTTTTCTTTCTCTGACTTCTGGTATATGATTCACTCACTTCCTGTTCTGAATCAGACTTTGGCACTTTCTGCTGTATTACGCTTCCCGTGCTGAGATGAGATTTACTGCAAGATTCAACCTGTTTGATGTGTGTTTTACTTAAAGTAATGCTAAAAACTCTTCATTACTCAATAAGGCTTCAATCCTAGCTTTCTCTTCATTACTCAACAGCCTATCTATATAAACCCGATCTTTTGATCTCTCAACCAGAGTTTTCTCTTCATCACTCAACATGGTTTCCACTCTATCCAACCAATCGAATCTAGATAGACTTGGTCCTTTTTCCCTTCAACCATAGCTTTCTCCTCTTACTCCTCTTCCTGATATACTCAGTATTTTTTTCTGTCATCTTCTTAATCACCCATCTCATTCATATGGTTTAAAATTATCTCTTTCCAATTCTTCACTTTCTCTTTTGGTTTGTGCAGGATACTTCTGTTTTCCTGGTAACTTAGGCTGGGAAGTTTTGACATTTAAATTATCAGAAATGTTTCAAAAACCAGTATAAATCTTTTTACATCATTAACATCATTCAATTCCAGGGTGTCCTGATTTTTCCAAAACTCCTGAATCTTGCCTCTCATTTCTACAATCATGTGGCATATTTTCTTCTTTTGCTGAATTATCACAGGAAACTGGTTCCCTGTTATTATTTCCAGTTTCCCACATCTTATCAGCGCTGCTCTCTTGCTGTTTTCTACTGTCTCAAAACTATCTGTATAAGTAGTTTTTAACTCATTTCTATCCCCCCTGGTACTGCCCTAATCTTGCTTTCATTCTGTGGCTCCTTAGGCATGAAAATCAGGCATTTTCCATCCCCACTTCATCATAAGTCCCAATTGTGCATCAAATTCTTGAATTTTGCCATGCTCCTCTTATCTGGACTTTATGCTAGGTATTCCTGTTTCCGGCATAACTTCATCTTATCTGTATGATATTCCCTGTTTCCTGTCTAGGTATTCCTGTTTCCGGCTTTCATCATATTTTTCTTGTGAGAATCTTTTCATAATTTCTTCACAAAACACTCCTGTTTCATATCTTTCAAATGCTACTACCATTTGATAAAACGGCACTATCTCTTTTCTAGCTGCTCCTGTAATGCATGAAACCAGCATCCTTTTACATCTTTATTTGGGATTGTTCCCCATTTACCGTTAAGCAGATGAGTTTCAAAATTACATTCTGGTACTCTGTACGCTCTGGTAGCAATCCTAACTTGTTGCTGCACTTTAAATGTTTCTTCTGACACAGTTTCTCTTATTACTCGAACTCCCTTGAACAAGGTAATCACAGTACTTGCTTGGAGTCTGAGACATTTAATTAGGGTTCGTTGATACTCTCTGCTGCTACCACTTTTTTAGTAAATGCCCTACTCCATCAAAGTCTTTCAGACCCATATTAATCCAGGTACAACTCATTCAGGAACTCACGGTTTCACAAATACCAACTCGGGTACGAATCACAAGATACAAATCAATCCCTCTCATTATGATTGACGAGTAATAAGAAATATTCAGTTCAACAATACTTTACTATCTATATCAATCCGGACACAACTTTATCTGTATCAATAATCATTCCCTCTCATTATGATTGACTAGACATAAGAGTTATTAATTCCCAATCTATATCTATCTTTCAAGAGAGTGATTCAGGACGCTTCTTGTTCGCTAACCAAGAACTACTCTCACACCGGTTTCAAAGTGGAGTATTTTCCAACTGAATGTAATTTGGGTTCTATCTTACAAGTTAAGTTAATCAACATAATTACAAGTTTTACGACGTTATATAGAAGCATAGTTAAGCTAATCACAATATAGGTTTGATGTAGTTATTTAGGTTAATCGCAATACAAGTTTTGCGTAACTATTTACAAGCGCATTTAGATTTACAGGCAATGTACAACGTAATATATCTTTGTATAGTCAGGTTAAGAAATATAGGGTTTGCTAGGATATTTGTTACAACGTTTGGGCAGATGATATGGATGTACTAAAGTATTGCAATGGTTATATCATGTTGGAATCTTCAAACCAAAGAGAATAGATTAAATCTATTCTCTTTGCTTCAAACCCATGAGAATGATGTCAAACTTTATTTAGGTAAAACATAAATCACTTTTGCCTCATTTTTCCCATGGAACAACCAGGAAAAATTTTATGGTTTTCACTACAATTATCAAAAAAGATTGAAGTTCTATAAACTCTGAATTATTTGTGGCATTCTACACCAGAAATATCTTAAAATGCGAGAAAAAAGGTGATCATTTTTAAAGACATTAAACTTGAAAACCCTAATTCAATTGAAACTTTTTTTCGATTTTCAAACATTTTTTCCGATTCTTTAAAAAAAGTTTTATCTGGGAGAATTAGAGTAGACACTATAAAAAAAATAATATTGAAAGGTCGAGGATTTCGAGGTGGCTCGGACAAGAAAATTTGGAGAATGTGGTTTGGACGCGAAATTGTTGTAGTTGGCCTTCCTTCCCAATTCAACAATACTTAAACTTAAGGTGTTCCTATTTGTTTTTTATACTTTTTCATAAAAACCACGTTTGCTGACAAAAAATTATAACTGAGTAACGGAGTTTAATAGGTTCAATTGTAATCTAAGATAATAACTAGCTTGGACACAAGGACCCAGACTGTTAATCCGCATAACACACGAATATTTCTTCCACCTCTGAAAGTAAGATTCTTAAATAATTTAATCACAAAACTCCCCTAGTCCTGGCATTATAAAATTGTGGTCTGCATATTTAGTGCTTTGAAAATTACTACAGATATAAAGGATTTTTGTTCAATTTCTTGAAATGACCAAAAATGTCTAAATCTAAACGAAATCCTTCAAAATTAAAGAAAACATATTATTACAGTGTTAACAACACTACAATGGTGAGGATTACAATTACAGATATAAATCTTAGGGATTTTTGAGATCAATTACTTGCTCCCTCTGTTAGGGCGTGTACAAATGTCTGTCTCTAAGTCCCTGGTTCATAAACCCCATTAATGTTCTCTCTCTATATGTATATAAATATCTCTCAGAGTATGAATGAATGTGAATTATCAGCTTATTAGTTTATTTGTCTAAATAAATCTGTTTAGGGTTCTTCTTGTTTTAATCAGTTTCCTATGTGTATAGAAGACCACACTTCAGTACGTTATTCCTCTGTCCATCTATAAGGTCCTGGAGTATATTTAGCTCCAATCTAGTGTGTGGTTTAAAGAAATCCAGCGGAAGTAAGACAAACCAGAGAAGATTATAAGCTATGAGCTGCTCCTCAATTGTTGCAATTCTCTGTCTAGTCTTGATATACTTGATATGCAATTCCTCTCAATAGGGAATCCTTCAATAAACTGTTCCAGTTCAGTGTATGTCGGAGCAGCTTTCCTGAATCCCATTTAGCTGCTCTGGATCTCTAAACTTGAAGCTCTCATTAAGAGGATGTCCCTGAACAGCTTCATCAGCTTCGTCCATCTCATCTAACTGTACCGGTTCAGGATCTCTAAAATACTTGGTTCAGCAGCTCAGGACTAGGAGTCCGAGGATTGGAGGATTCAGATTAGGATATATCATCCTTTAACCAAGGCAGTTGTTTTTCAACTATAAAATGCTTCCTCAGTTATCCTAGCTGCTCTTGGAGTTAAAGGATATTCTGGAGTCGGAGATTGAACTGGAGTAGTATCTGGTTCCGGAGTATCTCTTAGGAGTCTTTCTAACTATGAATCTGAGTCTGAGGTTTCCACAACTGATTGTTGAAGGGCTGTCTGTAAAGAGCAGTTTTCCCCAGAACTCTCATATTGGATCCTGCGACCCATTAACATCATGGTTTCTCAATCATATCTGGAGGACAATAGATCCTGTCTTCATAGATCCTGGAGATTTCCTCCTCTCCTGGAGTCATTGGTTTATACTGATATTCTAGCTGATCCTGGCCACAAGCAAGGTTGAGTCTTTGTATAGAATCCTCTGCAGAGTTTAGCGCAGCTTCTGGCACTTCAGTTAGTTTTAATAT